TAAACATAAAAAGTAACATTTTTCTTTATGCTAAGTGCTATCGGATCTTCTCAACTCCAAAAGTTAGCTAAAAAAGTCGGGTTTTTTTCTCACACTTATAACCAAGCACTCAATCCCTTTCATAATCAATGTGAGATAACCTCACAATCTCCTCTTTCACACATCGGATCCTAAGTTGGTTATTTCTAATCGACTTGTGTCATATCGACACAAGAAGAGTTGTTTAACTTTGAATCCGATATTAGTGTTATGTACTTATTAGACTTTCTTAACCCTATAAGCTAGCTCAAGGTATAGGGTTTTCCTTTATACTTATAACAAAGCATCCAACCCCTTTCACAATCGATATGGAATAATTTAACAACCTTCATCACACAAAGTTAGTATTGAATGTTATTGGACCTTTTATTCCTAAATTACATAATCAATTTGTGATAATTTAACAACCTCTCTCTTCACACATGGAGTCTTAAATTTGCTATTTCTCATCAATTTATATTACGTCGAGCACATAAAGAACTGTTTCACTTGAGCTATGATATTAATATTGGATGCTATTAGGTCTTTTATTCCCGAAAGTTAGTTCAAGTAATCGGGTTTTTTCTCATATTTACAACAAAACTCCTTATTTTTTTTTTAATAATCGGTGTAAAATAACTAAACAAGATGTTGGATTTGATTTCACTCCTCAATTATCTTGAGTAGGTTTCGGATATGACGTTATGAAAAAGAAAAAAAAAAAAAAGGACACGAGTAACTGGTCCAAAATCTGATCAAGGAGGGGCCATAATGCGTAGAACAAAAGATGATCTTCTTGGTAATTTTTTATTTTTATTTTTTAAACTGAGAGAGAACACAAGATAACCAACAGCTTTTGGGAAGCTGGATTTGTTTTCGATTCCATACGCACAAGAAAGCAAACAAATGTCATCGGGAAAATGTGAAATAGAGCATGAAAAGTAGACCTCTGAAAAAAAAAAAATATCATGTCAACTAAGCTAATTCAAAATATTTATAAACTTCGGTACAATCGAGACATATTCTTAAATACAGTGTATATAGAATGATCTAATGGAAGGTTGTTTCTTTTCTTTTCTTTTCTTTTCTTTTTTTCTAGGACGTGTAAACTATCACGTGTCGACCTTATTTTTCTAATCTTCTTGACTGACATTAATGTATACCCGGTAACTAAAAAGAAATCATAAAAAAAAAATTAAAATTAAGAATTCCCCTCATTTCTGTTACATAAAAAAAGAAAGGATTTCACGTACTTAAATTTCGTTAAATTATGTGATAATGCGTAAAAAACAAAGCTAAAATGATACAACTTTTCATAAACTCTGGTTTATTTGAAAATCAATTTATAAACTTTTAATTTAGATTTTAAACTTCCTAATTTTATAATTGTTTTTAGATTTAATCAATCTTATGATTTTCAACTAACACTCTTTATTTAAAAAACAAATTTCTAGTATTTTGAATTAAATTTTTACACATATAATGAAAAAAATCTAATCTATTTTCTGAAAAAATATACAAAATTTTCAAGATTCGGAAAGTGTGTATATATACATAGAAAATTAGAAAAAAAATAAAAAATAATCAGAAATGATTTTAATTTTTTTTAAAAATTTCTAAATAAATCTTATTGAAATGATTATCATGAGAGGGCTATATATATATATATATATATATATATATATATATATATATGAGCTAAATGACTAAAAAACTATAAAAAAAAAAAAAAGACTAAATGTCAAAAAAAAAAAAGTCAAAGCCAAAAATAGAAATTGAGAGATTGATTTTTAAATAGACTAAAATTTAGAAGAAAAAAAAAACATTTGACATTTTTGGCGGAAAAAAAAAGCATGTAACGAATAACATGGTAGGTAAATGTTGAATGGCTCAAAAGCTAGCGAATACAGTTAATTAAATTTGAAAATTTATAGTTGCAACGCTATGAACGCCTGATTACTATTTTAGCATCCTCCCAGGAAAACAAAATTACTAGTTTAAAACAAAAATTAACGTTAAGGACATGGACTTGTTCTGATTTAGAAAAAATTAAATAAAAAAAATGGACGAACTTCTAGTCTACATCAAAATCCAGCATGTACCTACATTCAAAGATGTTCAACGAATCAATTATCATTATTTACACGTATTCTTCAATATTGACCGGGTAATTAAAAAAAAAAAAAGGGGTTTCTGATGGCCGTCCGACAACAGCAATTTTTTTGATATGCTTGTTTTGATGGTAATCATAATTGAGTTTGTTCCCCTCTTATTATTTTGAATTTAATAAAGGAGAAGGTAGTAAAAGAAATTATTAATTTTATTATGCAATTTTTCGACTGATCGTTGTTAGCATCTTACTTCAATGTGTATTAGAATGAAATAGTACTGGAGAAACAATCTGATCTTTGCTCGTTGTTATATTTGCTGCTTTCATTTTCATAATTACGAATGGATGAGGATAGGATCGAGCCATGTCATAGATTTACTGGACCTACCTGCACAAAAAATTCAAACGCGTAGGTCCAAAGAAATAACATAATAAGTTAGATGAATCATACCTAGTGGGTCATTCTGATTGATAGTTATTTAATTGTAACAAATTGAAAATCTTGAGAGGTAGTTTTGTTGATATTTGGGTCATTTTAATTGATTACGAAAATTTAATTTTAATAGTTTTGGCATGTATGGTTCATCTTTCAAGTACCCAAAAAAAGATAATCTTATCCCTTATGAGTGAAAGCCGGTCCAAAAAGGTCTACCTGCAAAAAGGGCAAAAAAAAAAAAAAAACCATCATTAATAACTTTTTATTTAAGAAAAATCAGATTTTTTATCTCAACAATATATATATATATATATATATATATATACCGCTAAATAGTTGGACTTTAGTACTAAAAAAAATAAAAAAATAATTGAAAAAAACTCTTGTAAAGTTGAACGACCGGGACTATGCCTTGATTGAATTGAAAATTTAAGAACTGGAAGCAGCATAAAAAGTTCCTCACACCCTTTAGTGCTTGACTCAAATTTGGATAGCAGATTATGTCATCAGTAAATGCTCAAGTTTCTGAATTTGCAACTGAAAATTTAAGAACAAAACAGTACTATTTTCTTTCCAAGAGAAAAGACTTTGATTTTTTTTTTTTCTCTCTCTGTTCTCGATTGAATTGAGTAGATATCTTTGTCATGACTATATTTCTATAAGGAAAAGATGTGGAGTTTCTTATTAACGTTAATAAATGAGAAAAATCTATTGACATGTTTGTGAATGAAATTGACTCTCCCCCCTTCCCATCATTTTATATATATATTATTTTGTTTCTACCAATATTCCAATATTTTTTGAGAAGGAGCATCTAAACTCGAATTTTCTAAAAGGCTAAAAGGCTAAAACTTTCTCCCAACTTTAATTCATTTGAAAATCACACTTTCTTTTTTTTTAAAAAAAAAAACAATTTTTAGTATTTTTACATGAAATTTACACACATGTTGAAAAAAATCAAATCCATTTTCTACAATTTTTTAAAATAAAAAAGTATGTTTATTTATTTTTTAAAGATTAAAAATATAAAAAATCGAAAAGAATAGAAAATAATCTAGAATCATCCAAGACACCAAGAGTGTGCATATGGCACAGTAGAGGAAACGACCGAGACATTTGCAGAAGGTTGCAGAGGAGGAAATTGCCTTTATTGCCTTTATGGGTAGTAAGTAGTCGTGTGGTGGTTGAAAGTGATGGTTCAGATAAAGATTCACAATTTAAATATTCATGACTAAGTAGAAAATTATGGAGATCGGTAAAGTTTATTGGTTCAAATCTCGTGGACAAGGTAGTGAAAATGTCTTTAAAGTCACCAGAGAAGCCCTCGAAGACATATAAGTTGAAATCAATAGCAAAGAGTGACCGACCTGCAGCAGTGAGTTCATCACTATGCGATTTTACATGGTGCAATTATTGGGACACTGGCTCTATTGGCTCTTGGCGAAGCTTTTGCATTGCAAGATGCAATGTTATGATTCGTGTTGGATGGAGATGCAAGTGCCCTTTCAAGAACAAAACATACATCTTGAGAGGTCATGCAATCAATGACAAGTGAGAGCATATTAGTTGAGAGGGAGGAGATAATAGTGCTCATGAGTAGCTGGTCTTGTTGGATCCAGGCTAGGTGTTAGGGATCTACTTGTGTGATCTCGGATTCAATGGTAGTAGAGTGTCTAGTAGGACAGGAGTAGGAGCCATCAACAAAGCCAAAGAGACCTTGGCCTAGGAGGAAGGGTTTCATTTGAATGCGTCATAGTAGAAAGTTTGTTTGGGAAAGTTTGAATGATGAAATGATTCAGTGGAATGGAGAGAGGGGCTAGAATAGGTCATCTATTTGTTTGTGTGCAGCGTAGGAAGGAAGAAAAAAAGAATGAATTTGCTCTGTAGTGTATTACTTAGGATCTTAACTCATCCTTTATCTAGGCGTAGTGTTTGGTTAGCAAACCATTTCTTGAGTTGATAGGGTTTGGTTGTGATTATGTTACTGCAGAGTACATGACTCCTGCAGTTCCTTGCGGGCTTAACAAGTAGGAGTTCCCTCTTAAAGCAGACCCAAATCTTAAGCACCCCACTAACTATTCGCAAGTATATACGCTCTTCGTTTTGGGTGATACAAACAAAGCAAGTAAAGCACCCAAATTATCAATGTTCTTTGCCAAACATTTTTTGTTGTAAACATCTGTTTATTCACTGGATGTGATCAACTATTCCAACTGACTTTAGCTTGACATTTGAAGTAAAATATATATGTCCAAACTCAAAATCCAACTTACTCCTAACCATTAACCCCACACCCTCACTAACTGGGTTGGTCCATCCAAGGATTATATTATGTAAGAGAATTGACAAGCTAAATGGCTAACATTGCTACTTGGGTTCAACGTAATTTTAGTTGCAAAACCCATTATATATCTAGAGCCAACTGCCTCAATTTTTTCAAGGCATAGCAAATGAGAAGTCAGCACTACGGCTTTCTTGAAGCCTTTTAGGATTTTTTTGCCTTCTTAATTCATAATCATCACTAGAGGGTGGTGCACCTTCAATTTCGGACAGCTCAGTTTCAGAGTAGAAAGACCTAGGAGAGGTACAAGTGCTTAAACCACCTTCAAGGTCTGTAGAGTTGTGTTTAAACTTGTGAAGCAAGTGCAATGGTGACGTCCCCTTACTTGGGGTACTACTCTGATTATCTGGACTCATCATTGAGAATCCTTTTGATGAACAATCCGCCTCTGCCTTCATTCTTAGCTTTTTCCTGTCCTTTGCTGACTTCTGCCATTTCTTTATAGCTTTTGATGTTTGTTCTTCAAATATTGCTTTCTTCATGTGAGAACCCATCTGCCAATTGTTGGAAAAATATTCATCATCGCATTTGAATTTTGGTACCATATTGAATGTTAATTGATTTCTTGTGGTCTTGGACATATTGCTTACTTGAGTAACTAAGGCATAGAGGGGGAAGGTGACATAGCTACATAAGAATTGAAGGATAATGGCAAGGGCAACTCTTGCAAGCATTTCGGACAAATTTTCATGGAAGCAGGATGTCAATCCGAATTCATACTGCGATGGAGAAACTCGTAAGAATCCAAACAATTATACAACAATGGAAAGTGGACATGAAAAGCAAATAGAGGAATAGTTTAGATTGGCTTAAATTACCCATGTCCACAGAAAGTACGCCGTCTGGAATGCATTCTGCAGCATTAGAAATATAAGAATTATTTTAGACTGTGCTATATATTAGAAGAAAATAATTACGAGGTAATAGGTCTATAGTATTGCAAACCATGTTGATATCAAAAAGTTAATTAACATTCATTTGTGGAAGTTAAAAGTAGCCAATTAGGTGAGATTAAAAAAAAATTGCAATTATAACCAATGAAGTAATAGCTCAATTATATATTCCTCAAGTCGTTATCTCTTTGAAAAAGTTCTAGTTTGAATCTCTCTTTTTTTTTTTTTTTTTTTTTTAACTAAAAACAAAGATAAAGAAATAATTCTAATAAAATTCTTAATTTTTGCCATGTCTAGGATCTAGATCAAACCTGGAGAAATAATTAAATATAAAGATTACCTGGAACAAGGTGAAATGTATTAAGAAAAGAATTATCTCAGGGCGATTGAACCAAAAGTATTTGTTACTAGGCTCCACCACAGGAACCCCTTTCACCACAGTAGTTTTATCTTGGATCTCATGTGCCATTTCCATTATAATAATTTCCAGCTTCGCACCAACAATAAGAATTACCTGCCCACATACATATATATAAGAGATTACTAAGATCATAATTAATTAAGGTTATCACAATTAGTATACTGAACAAAAGAAATTAATTAAACAGACATCTTACTGCTAGAGGTACAAATGGTAACCATGTTAATGTATACCATCCTACACAAGCAAATCAAAATGGCTGTGATCAATTAAAGCTGTTTTTTGGATTCAAATTAAATCTGTTAATTACAATTGTTTAATGTCGCCCGGATGGAGATTGTCTTACCATAAACATTGAGAAGCTGAAATATAACAGAGCATATCCACAACGGAATGCTGCAAATTAACAACCTTAACAATTAGTATGTCATAAATATGTATATATGACATTAAAAATGGGAGCAAACCACTCACTAAAAATCCATTTAGATAAACAAAAAGAGACTGAAACCAACCTAATACCAACAACAACCTTGAAATCATCTTCCATTGATCTTTTAATGTAATTGTGGAAGTTGAATTTGCTGTTTGGTGCAAAATGAGCCTGCAATTTTTTTTTCTTACGAAGTTAATTAACTGAGTATAGTGAATATCTATTCGAATCCAAGACAAAGAAAATGGGTGAATTTGGGTTGAGCCTCTCTTAGTCCGAAAAAATGGGCCTTAGCAAAAGGTCATGTGATTATCAATGCCATTCAAATTTTTCTTGCAGTTATATAAACTAGCTGGTTGTTAACACTACGCTGGGATTCGCTAGAACGAAATTATTCTAAAATTTTTAAATTTTTATTTAATTAATTTTTTAAATATTTTTCATAAATTTGTTATTTAAAAAAATATAAATTATTCTTCTTTATATGTTGATTTTTTAAAAAAAAACACAAATCATTCTTCTTTATATATTGATTTTAAAATAAAAAATTATAATAATTTTCACTATAATATCAATTTTACAAAAATTTACAAATGAAAAAAATTTCTTATTTAATACCGATGAGAAGATTAATTTTTAAAATTATATGTGCAACGCTATGAGGAAATAGAACAAAATCATTTCAAAATTTTTTAATTTATTCATTAATTTTTTATTTAATTATTATTTTTTTTCATAAAATTTCGCTTAAAAAAAACATGATTTATTCTTCTTTATTCAAGGATTTTTAAATAAATACTTATAATAATTTAAACCTAACATGTTAGTTAAGAATTAAAAAAAAAACACTTTAAAATTATATATATATTTTTATGAGAATGTATTCCAAAAATAAAGTTACAATTAATGTATAGACTTGCATAAAAATTGTATTTGAATGTTGGTGAGGAGATTTGTTTTTTCAAGTATATGTGTTTGATCTATATATATTTATTTTCAAAATAATCAATAAAATTAGCATAAAAAGTCTGTATTTGAATAATTGGTTGGTTCCTTTAAAGAATTATTTTAATTATTTTATTTCAAATAAATTGGTTCTATAATGTTAAAAAAAAATTCATAGTAAATAATTTGTATTATGTTTGAAGATGTATAGTTAATTTTTAATAAAACAAATGATTCAATAGTTGTTTTATATGTCTTAACCATATCTTTTGAACAGAGATAAATTATTTAAAATATATATATGCAAATTCTAAGAATTCAATATATATATTATACAAATTTATTTTTTAAAAAAAGAAAAAACAATCATGTTTTAAAATTTTATTCTAAAATTCAAACATAGAGAAAAATAAATTATATTTATCAATAAATAAAATTTAAAATAAAAATTATTAATTGGATGAGAATTTTCATAAAAAAAGATAAATTCAAAAAATAAAATTTAAATAATAAGAGTAAGATAAACTGAAGTATATGTTAGTTTTAAAATATAAAAAGATAATGTGTGTGTGTGTGTACATGCTTGCGTGAAAATGAAACAAAAATAAAAACTAAGGATTGAAAAAATATGTTACAACATGAGGGAAGAAAATAAGAAAAAAAATGTAAAATTTGCATATTAATGCCCAAAAAAATAATAAAAAACAAATAAATAAAAAATAAAAATTCACATATAAAAATTACTTAAATTCCCATCAAATGAAAAACAATCTTATGCATATGAACAATAAACGAATAGGAATTTTAGGCATATGAACAGTTTGGATTCTCGCGCTATGCTACGGATCGAACTATACATATTTATTTCAGTCCGATAATATATACTATGTTATCGATTAATTAAAATATATTAAATTAAATATAAAAGATAAAATTTTATCTAATTTTATAATTTTTTATCAAAATTTTGTATCACGCGCGTGCGTGCACACACACACACACACATATATATATATAGAAGTTAATAGAGTGCAATAAAAGCTATAAAATTGATTTCGATAAAATTTGATTATATAAAAAATAAAAAAATAAAATACGTATATTCTATTTTTAAAATTTGATTATCTAATAATCAAGAAAATAAAAATAGGTATAAAAAAACTTATTTGAATCCATTCATAGAGACAATAAATCATATTTATTAATAAATAAAATTATATAAAAATAAAAATAAAAATTAACTGGATGAGAATTTTTATTATAAATTGAAAAGATCAATTTTAAATAATAAGAGTAGTATATATTTATTTTAAAATCTAAAAATATATTGTATATTTTATATAATCGTCGGTTTGTGTGAAAAAAATTAATGATTAATTTTTTAAAATTTTAAAATCCAATTAAATTAAAAAAAACATAAATTGATGGAAAAAAAGTAAAGAAAAAAACCAAAGGGAAAAAAAGAAGAAGAAAAGGTATGTGTAGTACATTAGCTAGGGGATTAAATTTGTTATTCTAAAATTTTAGGAACCAAAATGAAACAAGATGAAAAAAAAACCTAACTACAAAAAGTGAATAGTAGTTTATGAGGAGGTGAATAGGGATAATTTTAACATCCAATTAAATAAAAAAAAACAAAGAACATAAATTGATGGAATAAGCAAAGGAAAAGGACCAAAGGAAAAAAAAAAAAAAAGCATGTGTAATATATCGACTAGAGGATTGAATTTTTTATTCTAAAATTTAGAGACCAAAATAAAACATTTTGAAAAAAATTTTTGTGAGAAGGTAAATAGTGACAATCACGGTTCAGCCCCCCCCCCCCAACCAAAACACTCAATTAAATAAATGAAAAAAAAACATAAATTGATGAAAAAAACAAAGAAAAAAAAACCAAAGAAAAAAAGAAAAGGCATTTGTAGTACAATAGCTAGGGGATTGAATTTTTTATTTTAAAATTTTAAAAATCAAAATAAAACAACTTTAAAAAAAAAATAATTACAGTAAATGAATAGTGGTTTGTAAGGGATGAACAGTGAAAATCACTGTTCAAACCTCCCACTGCCCTTAGTTTCTTATTAACATTTTAGAGAGTAAAGTAATTGGAACAAGTACACAAGCTTACATTGATGAATCCATGTCGCAACGTAAGATAATCAACCTTTGTTACTGAAGCAAAAAACTGCCTAAAAAAAGCCACCTGAATAACATTAAATTTTTGTGAGGAATTGACCCTAATCACATATATATATGATCATGGAATTAAATGAACAATTGTAGAATGGGACTTACAATCCATCTAAGGCCAGGGGTAGCAGATAAGCCAGTATGCCGCTTAACAAATGAAGTTTGACGAGTGAACCTAAACCTTGAAGGGTCTAATTCAAGTAACACAAGAACCAAAATGTTAAATACTTACCATTTTGTTTTTTCAAACATGATTAAGTTAATGTTAATTACCATTAGTAAATTGATACTCTAGAGATGACGTCTCCGATTCCCAAGATTTCCATCTCTTCATCTGTTCAAGTCACTCACAAATTAAACTTTTAAGCCCCATCATTTTAGCAATTAAGAGTTTAAGGGAAAGGGCCAGTACACCCTCAATTATTATCCTATTCTCGATTGAATCCCCCAACAAAAACCTTTTTCCTTCTAAGTCCCACATCTAAACAGACGTCAAGGCCAATTATCACAACTAAAACTAAATTTAGGAATGCAATTAATTGAATTGGGGTTAAAATAGAGTTAAATCTAATTATATAGTGGACTCAATTAAACAAGCTTCTTGTTGGAGGACTTAATCCAGAACATGGTAATAGTTGAGGGTCATATTTATCCTTTTCCCTTAAAACTTGGTAATTAAGTAGTAGGAAAAACAGGGCATACTTTAGCCTTTGCCAGAGCAATAATCACTACACTATAGATAACATGAAATACTGCAAGCACAAATATGAAGATGTGCAATTGGTGCACCCCCGATTGTGAAATCAATGATACTTTACCCTGCAAGAATACACAAACATATAATCACATTAAATTAATTATCTCTACAGTGCAATCCCCAATCATTGACAAATTTAGAACATATGAGTAATTAAGATAGAAATTACGTAAAAATTAATTTACATGCCTGCCTTTTGGGAGGGCATTCTCCCCAATTATTATTTTTTTAAAAAATAGATTTTTAAAAGCAATTAAGCATGCTATGATTTGCAATTCCTGACTTGATTTACATGTTGTAAAATTTCTGATAACATACGTATATGTGCTTAATTCCTTACCTTTTGGGAACAATAATCATCGCCGCCGGCAGCAGCAGCAAGAAGGCGATGCGATATAGCATCTCCAGCATACCATAATAGCTTTCTTCTGTCGTCTTTATCACCAGGTTCGCCCTTGTCAGAATCCTTCTTTATTTCCTTCTTACATGGAAGCATGATATTTCCAGCTTTCTCAGGAATACATATCTTAGAAATTGGTTTTGTACCAACTGTTATGAGTAGCGATATGAAGCCTAGTAGCATCAATTCTGCATTCAAATTATCAAACCCCTTAAATTGATTAGTTAACTAATTATTTAATCACAAAGCTTTGTTTCATTAATTAATTACTGTATTCCTTCTTCATCAAAGCAGGAGAGCTAATATGACTAGAATTTGAATCTTTACTACTTTTAAGAAAAACTAATATTAGGTTGAAACAAAATGAGATTTACCTGCTTTAAGTTTCTCGAGAGCCTCGATCATGGCCTTTTTGTGTCGCTTTTGAAACAACTAACATTATGGATAACAACAACACAACAATAATAATAGAAGTCAGCTAAAATTTTCATATATATATATATATATATATATGAATTTAACACCAAGTTATACTCAATTATAGAGGTCAACCAAAGCTAATTAATCATACACATTTTTACTTCATAATCACATTTTTTGTATAATTTGTTTACATTATCTGAGGAAGAAGTTTTTACCTTTGCAAGGGAATGAATTCCACGTTCAATGACAATAGAAATTATAATAAAAACAGCACAAACAAGAGCAACAGCCCATGAGGGTGTCTCCTTTAAAGAACGTTCTCCATAGGCACCAGCAGCCATGGCTAGCTAGATATGGCTGTTTAAAGCCTTACTTCTTTGTGCCTAAAACTCTCACCCCAATTAAAATGATTCAGTCTCCTAGACTTGGCAAACTGGGAAGGCTTTCTTTAAGTAGAGGTGTGTGCATATATATATATATTAATGCCGGATTTTGAAGAAACAGACAGAGAAAACGAGGACAGATATACCTAAATAACTACGTACAATCAATTATTGACCATATTGTCGAACTATAGTAATTTTTATTTTTTTAATGGTATACTTAAATTTAAATGTATAGATACTAATTACCTTGTTCCATTGAATCTCAAGTTGGTCCATCTATATTCGAATTTGTTCATTAACAGAAAATTTATTTCTTTCAATCTCCCATAAATCCACTCACCATTTTATCTTGCTAATCCTGCAAACAATAGAACTAGCTAAGGTGAAAGTACTGCGTCCAATGATGCTGATCCTAAAATTTCAAATTTGTTGCTTCATATTTACACCCTTGGACTAGGGATCAGTCTGATGCACAACAATTTGTTGATGCTTTATCACTCCAGTCCAATGGTGGTGATGATGATAATGGTGGGTAATAAGAGTTAATCACTGTAGTCTTTATTGGTCATTGTATTTTAATTGCATAAATAAATGTGGGGTTGCTTCTTGTTTGTTGTCTGCTTATTGTTGTATTAGGGGTATTAGTAGCTTTGAGGAATATTGGCAATTTCTTTGGCCGTTCCCTGTCATTCTTGTTGTTTCCCGTTGAACCTATGCGCTCTCTTTCGGTCCAATTCGGTGTAATTTTCCGAGCTGATTTTATATTCATGTTTGTTTAGTGGTAAGAATACATATTCTTTTGCTTAACCTTCCTTGGACTTGGTCTTCTTTAATTAGTCATCCTAAGCTAGCATAATTGTGCAGATTGCAGATATACTAAATCAATGATTCCTCAATATTAAATAAAGTTATTTAGGGTGCCAACAAATTGATAAATTAATACCGATTTGTTTTCTTTTGGTTTGGAGTGGTGTGATATATGCTATCGGAAAAGTCCTCCTATACTTTGGAAAGGAAATTTCGTAAAGTGCAATAAAATAATCTTAGACAAATAAGTTAATTTTGGATTGCAATAATGAGTGTCTTTTCTTAATTTTTGGGTTTAACCCATAATTGCCCCTTTGTCTAATTCTAATTTTTTTTAATTGAGACTCTCTATTATTTTTCAGGTTAATTGAAACCTTCTACTTTTACAATTTCATTGATTGAAAACCTCCGTTATAACGTCGTTAACTATTCATCATACATGGTAAATTAAAACTAATGATAGCCAATCGGACAACGACATGTGACAAATTTTTTTGATTCACATTTTCATGTATCGGTTTTTTATTGGCACGTGGAACGAATAATTAACGACGTTATAATGGAATGTCTCAATCAATAAATTTATAAGAATAGAAGGTTTCAATCAAGCTAAAAAATAATATAGAATTTCAATCAAAAAAAAATTAAAACTGTATAGAAACTAATTATGGGATGAACCTCTTAGTTTTTTATCTCCCTATGGTCATCATTGTTGGGATTAGGGAACTATAGGAATTTTAGTGAGTGTTGAATTGTAAAGAAGTTGTATGTTCATAAAATAAATGCAATTGAGATAAATATAATAAAATTAATACGTGGCAAGTCGAGAAATTGGAAAAAAAAATGTTTGACCAAGATCATCTTAATTATCGATGCATGAGTGTAAATAGAAAGCGATCGAATTATGATGGCAAGAAAGAGAGATAGGCAAAAGAATGAAGCGGGTAGAAATAATAAAAAATAATTGTCACAATAATTTGCCAAAAGAGAATTAACCTATAAAATATTTGAAGGGAGGCAAATCATATAATTCCATTCAAACTAATTTGAGATAGAAAGTTAAATTAATGTGTGAAGAGGAGAAAACTATGAAATATTTTGGAGTGGCATCCTATGAAACGCCCACATTGTAATTTGTTGAAGACAAAATGATGATATTGCCTTAGTGAAGGAAGGAAATTCCAATATAAACATGAACGTAAACAATAATTGTTTTGATAGCTATATATATAGAGAGAGAGACTCTAATTTAACAAGAAAAAATAAAAATAAAAAAATGTTTACTATTTATTTACTATTTATCCATACTTATTTTATTATTCTCTTATCATTCACTCACACTCAAAAATACTATTCATTCAGTATTATTCTATTCATTGATATTATTGTGAGTTTTTGCTTTTACTTAGGCATTTGATATTTTTTTTTCCTTTATTAAGGCATTTGATTTTTTTTCCTTTTTTTTTTAATTTGTTTATATTCTAAACTTCATTTATATTGCGATTTGATATCCGAATATAGCATGAAATGAAAAGAGAAAAGAGAAGAGAGAGCAATCTAAGACGAAGTCCATTCTAGCTACTTTGACCACTCATCTTCGCTTCAATTTGTTCGTATTAAAAAAGAGAGTTTGTTTATAGTGGTTGTTGCTACCCGACATCGGATGGAACTCCTAAAAAAATTAAGCTTTTGCATCGCATTTATGATTTATTATGGGAATATAAGTTATTATTGAGCTTGGAGTCATCACCTAATATTGAAAGAACTAGAAATCTAAAATAGCATCGGTACAAAGATTCTAGGATAAGAAATTGGTTGCGTTTTGGAAAGATATCGATCGCCCAAAAGCATCATTTCCTAATAAAGGTACCATAGCTAGTTTGGTCCTAAATTCATCACTTAACGTATTTTATTTGTGTCAAATTATTTTGATTTAAACTCTAATTTTCCGAGCCAAATTAAGTTTTTTTTTATTTTTTATCGTGGTATCGTATTAAAACAATTATCGAACTCTTTTGTCGTTCAAATATCAATTCCACTTTAAATCTCAACACAACCGATATGTCGGAGAACATCTTGATAATTAAAATGATGATTTTTTTATTCACAATCGTCCCTATCAAATAGGAGACCTTATTAAGAATTTTGATTAATTTTTCGTTTATTTTTGTTAGCAATAGTTCCTATCAAATAGGAAAATTTGTTAAAAATTTTAATTAAAATTTTTTGCTATTAGTTTTGGGTTACAACGAGTCTCTATTAAATAAGAAACTTCATTAAAAAATTTTTTATTATTTTTTTTAGTCAATGACAGATCCCTAACGGATGGAAGACTTCATTAAAAATTTTAGTTTTAATTAATTATTTTTTTGTTATTATTTTTTATTTATTGTTTTTTGAAAAAAGAAATTGTCATTGGTCCCTAAAAATAATTATTATAATAAATTCTAAAAAAATTAAATCTAAATTAATGAGAAAAATAAAAATGCACAAGGAAACAAAAATATTCAGATTTAAGTTATTAAAAAAAATGAAATCAAAAAATATATATAAAAAAATCTTATTGGGCTTCGGACCATTAGGTCAAGCCCATTGGCCTTACTACCTATCCTTCTTTTCTTTTTCTTTTTTCTTTTTTTCTTTTTTTTTCTTTTCTTATCGGCTAATTCTAGTTCCTATTTATTTATTCTTTTTTCTCTATGGCGAAGCTGATCGAAACCAGACTTATGCTTGGTTTCTTTTTTTTTTTTTTTTTTTCAAGCTACCCATGGACTGGTCAGGTCGAAACCAACCCGGCCTCTTGTTCAGCATGGGTTGGGCCATACTTTCTTATTTTTTAAAGTTCCCGTGCAAGACTAAGCCCACAAAGAACATTTCTTATTCCTTCTTCTTCTATCTTCTTCTTTTTTTATCAAACCACACTCCGGCACGCTCTCTCTCTTGTTCTTCACATTCTCTCAACTAAAAATTATTCCCGCCCTCGTGCCCGTAAATCATTTCATAGAATCGTTTCCCTAAACTCTCGCATATTCATCACTCGTATAAAAAGGGAGTTTAAACCTTGATGGCTCACCGTGGTAGTGAACTTAGCATCGCCATCCCCGGTTATTGGATCAAAACTTGGCACTAAGCAGATATTGAATTGATGAAATGGAAAACAAATGTATTGATATTACCTAGTTGGGATAAATTGAGCACAACAAATTGATTATGATGTTAGAATTCTACCCTTTCCTTGTTTGCGGATCGAGAGAAGAGAATAAAAAGAATACTAGTTTAAGTTGTGATGATCCTAAAAGTGGATGTTATAAAGATGGAACACTCAAAGATTTGTGATGACTAAGGATTTAGAAAGGCTGGAATGGAGTGTGTTTGGTGTTTTTGGGATCCGGACCAATGAACAAAACCGGGAACAAGAAACTCAAAAGCCCAAAAATGAAAGATTGAAAACCTAGAAACTTGAAGAACACCAAGAACGAACTACGCCAGAAAAATTTGAAGCAAAAATCCAAAATGTGCAAGTTAAAACTAGAAAACCTAAGAATTGAATTGAAAAACCAAAAGACTCAACACAAAACCCGGAAAAAACAAGAAAAACGAATTGAAATGCCCAAAAACTATGAACCCAAAATCCAGAATTTTGAAGAAAACCAAACGATCGCCTAGAAAATTTTCGAAGGAAAACCGAGAAACCACAAATTAAGCCTCCAAACCCGAAATTGAAGTTAAGAAACTTAAGAGAATTGAAACTAGACCTAGATAAGTAAAAAATAATCGAGTAACGAATCCAATAATGGATGAACTCAAACCTAAAAAATGAAGAAAAATTATGAATTTGCCTAAGAAAAACCCAAAAAAATCTACTACCAAGGAAAAAAAAAAGATCTATTTTTAGCTCTTGATTTTCACTCCTTTCCCGTGAAAAATTCCCCTCTTCTTGTCCTTTCTTCCGAGCCAACACAAGCCTTTTATAGGCACGAATTTTCTCAAATCTCTCCTCCCGAATCAATCCATTCACACTAGATCTAACTATTAAGGAAAAATTTTTCCTTTGATCGCCCAAAACCAAGAAATGAATTGTGTTGAGGCATGATCTTTGGCCGATATTAAATCTCGCTAAGGATCACGGTGAACGCAAATCAACCCGT